TATAAGCAACAAAACACGTTAGAAGATATATAATATAACTACATACACCATCAAATGCACTTACACTGTTTACAGTAATACTTACCAGCAGCTCATACAACGAGCTTAGAGGCACCTCTTGTGCTCTAACACACGTACCATCCAGCTGTTATGTATGGCTGCACACCAAAGCTATGAATTCCGAAATCGTATCTATTCACTATACACTTACCAACAGCTCATACAATAAGCATGGAGGCACCTCTCGTGCTCTAACACACGTATCATCCAGCTGTTTTGTACGGTTGCACACCACCACAAAGGAGGGAAACCACTGGTCATAAGAGAATGGCTGCCATGATAAGCGTGCTAGTGGATGAGCACACAACTTGCTTCATTATTCATAAGTCCTAGTAACCCAATATTGGTTGAGCACTTCACCATTTTGACAGCTTCTTTTGCTAACTGTAGTCATGCCCTGCTGATGTGAATATCTGTGCAGACTCCACATTTCTGTCCATGAGCTGCGTTTCAGAACTTCTTTTTGAGCTTCGGTAGGCTTTGAAAGACTTGATGAAAGTTGGTATTATCTAGGCTTCTTTGTAGAATAGAATCTGACTTGATGCTCGGCTTTCTTGTTTGCTGGTTCATTAGATTGGTCTGGCATTTTTCGTCTCTTGTTGTCTTCAACAAGCTGCTAGACTGGCTCAAACAACTTATTCGCCTTCTCAATCACTTCCTCCAACACTTCGCTATCCACTATTGCTTGTTTGACAAACTCCATCTTCGCTTTGAATAATGCTGCACTTGACACTTTTGTGGCTGCGTCGAGCTTTGTAATGCTTTCCATTATGTGCAATGCCTGGCTCATTTCACTTGCTGTTTCAGGTGGGCCCTCATAGTCATTATTGTCACTGCTTGATCGTGTATTAGTAATGACGACACAGCAAATGTGCTTGCACAGTGAAATGTATCAGGTGCACATAGCAAGTGCACCTGTAAGTATGCACACACACTGCACATTCCTTGCATCTCAAGGGACTGCAAGCGTCTTCACGGTATAAGAGTGCCCTTTAGTAGACTGAGAAGGCACAGTCCACATGCCATCTTTGTTTAATTTTGCACAGCCTACCATTTCAGTGCCAGACCTGTGGTACCTTTCGTTTGCACTTAACTTTTTGCCCTTTGCTCCTTTGATCATTCGAATTGCCCTGTTCATCAAAAAATGATATGTCAAATCCATTAGGGTAGATATTAGTTTATCAACACGCTTATTCGTCCTTCCCTCCAACATGCTGTGCTTTAACGTTCTGTGCATACTCTCAAAGTGCATATTGGTGTTGATACCTGTCTTAGTCCTAAAGCAGTAGGCCCACTCTTGAGATTTAACCGCATAGTTATTCTTGAAGTACTTCAGAAAATCCTTCAGTTTTGCTTCTTGAATGTCACGAAATGACTGAAGATACTCTTTAAATTCTTCCTAGTTAAGGAACTCTAAAAAGAGTCTCGCATTGTGGTAGACGTCCGGCCTCAGCTGCTTTTCAACGCACTCATGTATTTTCTTCTGCCAATTCCTATCCACATGCCAGGCGCAAAGAAGTTTCTGTTGAGGAGCACCCATAACTGATGACCATGTCTTATAAAATTGTGAGGCGTCATCAGACATAAATGTTTTAGCCTCCACTTTTTTGCTGATGGCAAACTCAAGGGACCTGAAAAAAGCTGCCAAGTATTCCTCATTCATCTTATTGCACATGAAACAGGCTATAGGTATACCTGGTCCCACTTCATCTACCACAAGAAGAGTGGTCAGCTCAAACTGGTACCCTGTAGTTCCATGTGTGGAGTCGAGACACAGTTCCCGTGTCCAATTCTTCCAACAACTCTTTTCGTGGCTCTGTCATCAGAGAGCACCAAAAGGACAAGAGTTTCACTTTTGTCTCTCACTGCTTGCACCCACATATCTACGCTAACAGCATCATTAGGGTGACACTGTTCAGGAGCAGCAATGTGAAACTGCCGCTTGATGTTATGCAGAGTTATGCGCTCTGCCAAAAATGCTGGTCTTAGCTTGCTAGCAACAGATGTTTTTATATTTTTCAATACGGTTTTAATGGGCACACCGCGCTCCAGGTGCTCCGCTATGTTGGCCTTTTCTTCGTCAGTCATCCTCAAGTGCCAAATTTCTGCTTGATGGCCGTAGTGCTTCTTTTGGTACCTAACATTTATGCAGATATCTTCAGCTGCTGTGCACTGAGTGTTTTCCTGCTTCGTCACAGTAAGAAATGAGACATATCTTACCGGACTTGCTGGTACCCCGACTTTTCTCTCAACGTTTACCATGACCTTCTTTTCGTCTAGCCACTCCTGATCTATTACAATAGTAGTGCGTCCTTGTTTTTGGGAGCAGTGCGATGTACAAACCAACATTTCTCGTTGGCCTCTTCCTGAGCTTTCCATTCACTGAATTCTGCAATGCAAATAAGACACAGTATTACAGAAAAAAAATTAAATCAGGGTAATGGAAATGAGTTTTGCGGAATCCTGCAAGGCGGCGGGAGGGGGGTTCAAGAAAAGGACAACAGACAACCTCCCGTTTTTAGCACAAAGCCACAAGGAAATCTACGCGAATTTTTCAGAAAGAATGCCTCTTAGATGCCAAAAAAAAATTTAACCTGATCCAAGCTTCACTTTTTGCCCCTGAGCATCGAGTTGTCAATGAATTCATTTTCACACGTCCATCTGCTAGCTTCCTAGTTAGTGCAGATGATAGAGTGACCGCCCCGAAAAGGTATTGATCCCGAGTTCCAACTTGGACCAAGACAAATTTTTTGGCAAATAAAAAGCTTTCTTTCTGAGAAATCCGCATGAATTTCCTCGCAGCCGTCTCACTAGTTTGACACACCAAAATTAGTATTGCAGAACGCGATTGTATGACAAACATAAACTACAGGTGTTAACGTGAAAATATGAATCTCATGACATAAGTGCGTGATGAATATAATGACTGGTCATGCATTGTACGTACTAGAGTATACGTTTGGCTAGAATGGTGTTACAAGATTGTACACTGATGCGTGCATGACAAAGAAACTGAGTGCCATGACATGGATGACTTCATTTGCCAAAAGACATACAAGGCAATGTATACATCCCTTTGCTGGCTGCTTCGCATTACATCAATTCTTACAGCCCATGGGATCTGCCGGAATTATTTTGTTAACAGCGCATCCATGAGCTCGGTCAGCAACTTCTCTGGTATGGTATTAAAGGGTACCTGTGACACAAATTAAGCGGGTAGTTTTCACCACTTCCTGTCGAACTGTGGATTGCACAGATATCGTTGCGCGAGTGAAAACACGAAAAACAAAGCAGTTATAGTTTTATTTCAATGGAGAAACTATATTGTTTTTGAAATACAGTGACACACACAATGGCTATATTTATGATTGGAAGTGACGACACTGTTTGTGAATTTTGATTGGTTCAACGTAATAAGTCTCATGTAATATTCATAAGGTTCCAGATATGCCACACAATTGTGCATGAAAAATTAAAAAGCATTCCTTATACTTCATTGAATACAAAAGGAGTTGTTCTTTTAAATACTAACTTGAAAACAATTAAAAAATGATGCTACGAGTGCTGCACAACCGCCACTGCGAGGCGAGTCTTCTGGTTTGCCTCTGTAAGAGGCACGGAGTGATTGGAAACTGACACAAACATCAGCGGGAGAGTGAAATGCGACATGGAACGCATCTTGTCATCACATGCTCAAGTTTTGAGGTCTAACTTCGCTTTTAGTGCAACAATCTGCATCATTCTTTTTGAGTTCATCTGGGCTTACATTGCTACACACATTCCAGTCTTAAAAAAGGCAGTTGCAAAAGTGTCGCAGGGCCCTTTTAAGCATTTTTTTTTCTCCTAAGTTTCAATGGGCATGTTAACTCCTGTAATTTTCGGCGAGTAATAAAAGCTTGAGGAACAATAGAAAAGTTTCTTTCATGTTCATGTTCTGAAGCACTCGATATTACCACGTTATGAGTGAAGGAACCACATATATGGTGTGTTTCAGTTGCAATAAATGTTAGTTGGAAGCAGCCCTTTGTGGGTCATTTTCGCTGTCCCGTTCTGGTGTGCTCACCTGTTTCAATACATCGTAAGTCTATCAGATATATTTGCTCTGCATTTTTTTTAAGTAGTGGAGGTAGGTGTACGATAAGTTATTCGCACAATTTTTTGCTTCTTTAAATATAATGCCAATATATTTCCAGTTAACATGCAGAAAGTACGGCTGAACCCACAAATTGGTTAAAAAAATATTAAGTAGACCATACTATAATTCGAACTGCGCTCGAGCTTACTGTATATTTGACTCAAATGACCGATTAATATTACATTGTGTTAAAGAGACGAGCGCATTTTTCCTTAGCTTGGCTGCTTAAGCCTGTGTATTGTTCCCCGCATAACTACTTCATAAAAACGTTATTTTCTCGTTGCCTTGACGCAAAATCACCGGTGAAGTATGGCGCACCACAAGAGCTCAATCAAGCCTCAATCAATGCTTTCAAACATTTGCCAGAATTACGCCATGAAATCGACGATACCATTCACAAGAGGACGTGCATCCTGTCCAACACCAAAAGGCATGTGATCTTTGAGAGAAAAACAATAAGTGATGCAAGCCACATTACTTCCAGTGCGATCGCGAGTGGCAATTAGCTCTTCTGTGCATTCTTTTATTTTCGACGCGACAAGCACACGAAAATTACCTAGCTGACTCAGTTAATACTCGTACAAGCGATCATGTGCTGTACAACCGCACCACAAAAGATCCCTTTGTATCCCAGCGGCAACAAATGTTGCCATTACATAAATTGGCGCTAAAAATCCCGTGTGAGTCGCCCAACATTAAAATTTCGTTTTTTTAATTTCGCGCTATATTGAAGTTTCAAAATATGCTAACTAGATGGCGCTACCTGTATTGACAACTCCACCACAACACAAAAAAGAATGGCGTCTTCCTCAAAATGCCCGCCACGGTAAGTACCTCCGCGTTACAGTGATATCTCACTATTTATCTGCTATTTCTTCCTTTAAAATACTTCTGGTGTAATAGAAGAATTCACAAGGAATATTTTGATGTCAATTGCTCTAGGAAAAACCCATTAGAAGTATTTATTTTTCGTCCGTGCTGTGTTGCGCACACATATGTTGCCGTCAGGAATACGGGGCTCCTGAGTTTCACGAATTGGTCTGTGGGGCTGCTTTTCGTTCGCTTCGTTTTATAAAACGCCGCGGTTTGCCACAAAAATTTTGGTTTCTAATGCAACACAATATCTCTCTGCAGGCGTGGATTAACGGACACCGAAATCCAGGCAATTTTGTTCGACTGGCCAAGTGGGAGCGAATGCTCCGATTTGGAAAGCTCCGACGATGACCAGGCGGAAAGGACCGCAAGTCAACATTGTAGTGGGACAGATTCGTCTAGCTTGTCAGACACCGACGGTCTTGATGTCGAAGAGTCCACTACTATGAAGAACAAGATAAAAAAGACCTGGCACTGGGTAAAGAAGGACCTTGACGTCAACGAAGGCTTTCCTACTAGCATTCCAAGTCCAAGAGTCTCTGCGGCAGAGGCTAAAACGCCTTTGAGTATGTTTACTAAGCTGGTAGATGAGGATTTGATCGAACATCTGACGTTCGAAACAAACCGATTCCGGGTCCAGAGCAACCGCACGAGAGTAAAACCTGTGACGCTTGAAGAAATGAGGGAATTTCTCGGTATGATCCTGTACATGTCTGTAGTGTCCATGCCATTCAGGCGCATGTACTGGTCCCGGTTATTGCGCCAATCCCACATTGCGGACTGCATGCCAAGAAATCGCTTTGACGAAGTGATCTCACTTTTCCACGCGTGCAACAACGACACCGAGAAGAAAAAGGAAGAAGATGGCTACGACAAGCTTTACAAGGTCCGTCCGTTGCTCAGCCGGCTGAATTATAATTTCCAGGGTGCTGCAGAAATGGAAGATTGCCTTGCCGTGGATGAAATGATAGTACCATTCAAAGGCCGACACAGCCTCAAGGTGTACATGAACAAAAAGCCTAGAAAGTGGGGCTACAAAGTGTGGACACTGGCTGGGAGATCCGGCTATGTGTACAAAAATTGAGCTTTACGGAGACAATTTAGTCATTGACCCAACGGATTTGTAAAATGACATCGGAGAAAGTGGAAAAATTGTTGTGCGACTCTCTGAGGGCTGTGAAGGGAAAGAAATATTTTGTGACAACTTCTTCGCTTCAGCAGATCTTATAGTTGAAATGGAGCGTCGCGGATTAGGATGCACAGCAACCATGAGAAACGGCAGAATTGGACGCTGCCCCCTAAAAACCGAAAAATGCCTGAAGAGGGAAGGCCGTGGATCCTTTGATTTCCGATCAGAAAAGGACAGTGGCATTATTATTTGTCACTGGCATGACAACCGCAGCGTCATGATTGGATCGAATACCCATAGTGTAGGTCCTGTGGGCGTCTGCCGGCGATACGACAAAAAAGCAAAAACATACACCGAAGTTTCCCGACCGAGCTTGGTAAGAGTATACAACCAAAGCATGGGTGGTGTCGACAGAGTGGACCAGCTGCTTTCTTTCTACCGCAATGAGTTGAAGACGAAGAAGTGGTACAAGAGGATCATTTTTCACTTGCTAGACCTCGCTGTTGTGAACAGCTGGTTGTCGTACCGCGCCGTAAAGGATTCGGAAATCCAGCTCGCAGAATTCAAGCTTCAGGTCGCCTTTGGGCTAATGAAGTCGGAAAAGTCACACGAAGCTCCCCTCCATGACCGTACTCTGACCGAAAATTGGCTGTCGAACCGAGCTTCGGATGTACCCACTTCCGTCAGGTATGATGGGGTAAATCATCTGCCTGTCAAAGTGCCGCAGAAAAGTGCCCCAAGGTGCAAGCTACCGCAGTGTTCACGGAGAACAAGGCTCCCGTGTAAGAAGTGTAAGGTGTACCTGTGCGTCGAAGAAGATGGACCAGCAAACTGTTTTGAAAGGTTCCACACTGAGTGACTTCGTGTTCCTAGCGTACGTTCTTTTTCTTCAATAAATAAGGTTTTGTTGAAGGACACATATTTTTTCTGTGTTATTTGGGACATTTTAATAGAGAATCAGCCAATAAACGCTTGCTGTTGTGCCTACGAACAGCATGGGATACAAAGGGTTAATAATGTACTAGAATTGCTTTTCCTAACAACTATCAACTGGTTAAAGCATGGGTCACTCACCTTTATCGTTGAGGAACGTGCGCTACACGTACTCGGCGACGAATTCGTGCGTTGCGATGTGGTGCAGTGAAGACAGGCCAACGCCACAAACGCCACATTTCACGCGCGTATTAACTTCTGGGGTTACTTTATGGACGTCCCTGACACGCCGAAGCATGCTTTTCCTCTTATTGAACAACATACTGCAAATCTCGCAACGACGGCTTTCGTCGTCAGTGACAGCTCGATCACAGTTGACCTGCGCCATTCCAAAGCGGAGTGAACAAGAACGGACATAGTTGCGAGCACCTGCATTTGTAGATTTTCGTGCGCCATTGTAATTCAATTACCCACGGCATGCTATCGTTGCCATAGAGTTTCTTAACATACACTAGAAGGAACTCTGGCGCTAGTGTCTATGGGAGCTGCAACACACGGCGCTTCAGTGAGCATGGGTAAAGTGTTCTAGAAAGGGGGGCTGACTGGAGGCCGTGCACTGACGCACTTTATGTCTCACCTGGTAGATGGCGCCACCACCACCTGCAATGGAAGCGACGCATTGCTGCTCTCGGCCAACGCAGCGCGAAGGTTAGTTTGCCAGCGCTTCAAGCACAAACTACTCTTGTGCAACCCCTGTTCATTGCCATTTTCGTTGCTCTTCTTCTTTTGCCTGAGCATACTTTTGCTTTGGCCGTCGTTCTGGCGCATGAAGTATCGCTAAACATGAGCACGTCATCAGCGGGATGCAATATACACTGTAAACAGCCAGTTTTGTATTGCGCTCTCGCAGTTTTATTGCCTTTAGATAATTGATTTATGAAACCACTTTCTGCTTATGAAGCACGCCGTAGTGGAGGACTTCGGAAATTTTAACGTGCACTGACATCGATTGCCTTTAGATAAAAGAGACTAATGTTTTCATGATCACTAATTTAATAAGTCGCAGAGTGGCATATAAGCGGCTCACATTTCTCCACCAATATGCTAGCGTTTGTACTCAACAGTAACTTTACTGAAGACGTACTCTCACTAAATAAAACAATAATACTACAAACTTAAGCACCTTACGTGCTCTCAGCTGATATATTCTCCTGAAAAGTGCAAGAAAATGTGTGGTAGTGCACAGAAGGAAAGACCTATCCTAATCATTCCCAAGAAATAAAAGTGAATTTGTAATGAAGGTGTGGAAAAAAATATAGACAACAATAATTCACGGGAATAAGTTAAAAGTTTATTTGGTGGGGCAGCACAATGACCGTACTCCACAAAAGCCATGCATATCAATCACTTTCATTTTTTTTTCTCAAAGTGAAAGCAGATGGAAAAAGCTGAAATAGCTTGAAGAGGGCCTTGCCCCATTATGTACTTATCAGCGTGTGCGACAAAGAGCATGTCTCCTAAAACAGCCCAATAGATGCTAGAAAAATATTCACAACTACAAATAATCACAAAGAGATGCTAAATATCTTCAATAGCACACTTGGCATAAAAAAGTTCACAAAAACACATGAACACTCAACACATATTCTTCACACAATAAGTAAAGACACTGAATCAGAAGAAATACTGGAAATGACAAGTAATAGACACATTTCCATTCAAATAACATGCATTTTTATAGAGATCTACAGATGTTCTCGTAGATCATATTAATCACACTGTTGATGGTACGCCAAAGACCAAAGTCACCATTCACAATTGAATTAAGCAGAGTTGCCACTTAGTCAAGGGTTTATTGCTATAGTATGCGTGGCGAGTGACAACATACTATTTTGCTTGTTTTTCAAATCTGGCATTCTCTTGTATTTGGGTCAGTGAAACAGAAAAAGAATATTCAGAAAGATTCATACATCAAGTTTAACCTACACTTGTAAAATCCATACAGGAACAATATTAAAATTTTAAAAATCTTCTACAGCAAGGAAAAAATATTTAATAGCAGCGGCTTATCTTTAAGTGCTTTGCTTTCTGGAATTTGCCTGCTCTGTCTGTATTTAGCCCCTTAATGTAAAAATGAAGTCGTGTAACAACATAGAATTGTATTATTTTTTGAGAGAGCATTGAGACATGGCTTAGGCACCCAACCTCTTGCCAAAGCCTTGCTTTCACAATGGTCAGCACACCTAAAATGCTGTCTGCATGGAGTTGTACACAAGAAAAGCAGCCCGTGAACAAGTCTTCAAGCTTCTTTATGAACCGAAATAGGCAAGCACTTGGGTAGAGGAGTCCACCGCTGTCACGAAATAGTGTCAACCTTGCAAGCTGAAAGCTTTCGTCTGGGGCAGGCACGGTAAGTAGTATCAAACAATCTTTACAATTGCTTTTCAAAATGCACTTTCGTGCCACGTAGCCAGCAATGTAAAATGTAATTCTCGAGTCGCTCCTCGCAACATGCTGGCTGTGGTCCTGGGAAGGTATAACCAACGCCTGCGCATTCGGAGAAGAGCTCGGTGCCAAATCCATGCCTGCTGCATTTTGCGATGTGTCTCGTGGGCTACTAACTTCCAAAAGGGAACCTAGCATGCCCTCTTTGCAGTTTCCATGACTGACACCTTTAACTAAACCATAGAATGACATGCAGTTTACTGTAATCAAAAACTTAGTTGGTGTTGGATGATCATTACTGCCAGAAGATTGCCTGATAATACCGAAAAGGTTTTCCAAAGGATCCTGGCTAGTTTTTGCAGTCATTAGGTATTTAAGCCAACATTTTCAGTGAGATAGTCAAGCAACTCTAGTGTACTCGAAATGGTCACACGTAGGCCAGCAGCAGTGGAATTGCTCAGAAAGCCTCCTCCATCTTTCGTATGCTGCTCCCATGCTTTGAGGTAGGACAGAAAATCCTGCAGCACTGCTGTTCCTGATGAACACGGTCTGAGGGCTTCAGCAGGGAACCGCGGTGTCATCACTCTTATGAGCTGGTGGATTTTGCTGAAATATGCAAAACAGCTGTTTTCATAATTTTGTAGTTTACATTGCATGATGCATTCTTCATAGTTATGAATGGCGCAAAACACACGAGACACAAAATGACGAAAAACACAAGGACGTCATTTTGTGTCTCGTGTGTTTTGCGCCGTTCATAACTATGAACCAAACCCAACTCGCCCAAATGTCGGTGCTAATGATGCATTCTATTAAGATATAATTTTCATTTACAAGTTGGTTATATCAGACATTTCACTACCTAATTTTAACCAGCATATGACAAGAGACGACTCACCTGAAGAACTCTTGTGTTACATCCATCCTTCCAAGTGTTGCTTCCAACTTGTCTTTGTATAGGTGGAAAGCTTGGAGGACTTTTGTCCTAAAAAGCTGGAAGGCATAGCTGACCCTCATCTTCTCAAATCCATTAGGATGCAGGTGACACCGTGTTATGCCCGGCATCACTTTAAGGGTCACGTTGGAGGAGTCTATTTTGTGAGCTTCCCTTACATGTTGCACATCAACCTGCAATGAAATTAAGTGGACCATATTGAAATGCACCTGGTTAAGCTTGGAGATAATGTAAGCATATATGAAATTCAATGTGTTTTATGCGTGAAAAACAAAACATCAGACTTACATGACCTGCAGGGGTGTTGAATCCAGACTTCAGCAGCGAGTTCCGTAGGCATTTGATGAGATGTGGGAAGTCAGATATAAAATATAGGTGCCGTGATGCATCACAGGGGTGTTCAATTTTCAAAGTAGTAGAGTCAGCTGTCGCTTGGATCCCAAGTACTTTCCACATATTTCTATTCCAACTTGCACCATCGCAAGTAATAAAATCCACAAAGAGCCCACTCTTTTCAGCTAGTATGGTTGCTTCAATGACAACTTTGGCGAGTGTGTCCCCTTTCATGTTTCCATGTGTAGCAAAGTAACCAATAACTTGACTCCATTTGCCTTGAAATGGGACGAAAAGGATAACCATACTGTGGTCACATGGTACACCTTTGTCCTTGGAAGTTGTAAATGGACCTAAATCCACAAAATCCTCAATTGCACCCGACTTCTTCACTGAAAAATGTTCTGACAGTTTCAGTTCGTCGATGACCAATCCACCGTGTTTCTTCCAAACATCAAGCTCCGCTGTCTTTTCCTTTAGCTGCTTTAGAACTCTCTCACTAAAGCCAAACACAGTGCGGTATGTATGTACATAGCGCTTCAGGGTTGATTTACATGGAAGGGCTAGGATGTTATTGCGACGAAGATGTTCATACAGGTGAGGGCTCTTCATCTTCATGATTAAACAATCTAAAACCCAGCTTTTCGTATAGCGCAACCCATTGGGTTTTACTCTTGAAGCTGCAAAGCACTGTCGTACAGCTTCCTGCTGTCTTGGTGGAAGCCTTGCAATCTGTGCTTCTAAAGTTTTTGTTTTTATAGCAGCATTCCTAATTTGCATTTGTTCCAGCTTCTTTTTCACACTTTTCAAGCGAGAAAACAATCTAGTGTTTCTTTTGGCCACAACAAGCAACTTCAGCACTGCATATTGGCAATTCCTTGTTGCTGTTCGCTTCACCCGGGCTCATCGAATTTGCAGTGCTCGTTTCAAATAGCGGCAAGACACACATTGTGCACCTGAAAGAAAGGTGCAGTGAATTAGGTTGCAATAACTGGCAAGAAATCTTTCGTTGATTGATTGATATGTGGGGTTTAACGTCCCAAAACCACTGATGATTATGAGAGACGCCGTAGTGGAGGGCTCCGGAAATTTCGACCACCTGGGGTTCTTTAACGTGCGCCCAAATCTGAGTACACGGGCCTACACCATTTCCGCCTCCATCGGAAATGCAGCCGCCGCAGCCGGGATTCGAACCCGCGACCTGCGGGTCAGAGAAATCTTTCGTAGCGACAAGAGTTATAGCTGTCATAC